AATATTAATTCCTATGACTACATACCAGTTAATAATGAAGTTTAAAATGGATAATAGTTTATAATAGTCCCACAAAGCTAGTTCTGAGGTTTTTAGCCAGAAAATCATCGGGTTTTGAAAATGGCTGGGAGTCAGACTATAGACAATTTTCAGCATATTTTGCTCATTGATCTGCAGTTGACTGAAAAAATACCAATGTGCTTGTTTTGACTCATGCATCGAAACAATTAACAGGCGCATGCACCCAGAGGCTACCAATCTTCGATCGGCTCGTTCTAACAAGCGCCTCTGGAACCAGGGTATATCCAGAGGTTCGGCAACGGTAAATGCGCTCTTTCAAGCCTTATGTCATTAGTGCGCATTATATTATTGCAGATGTATTACATCTATTAGTTATWTCTTCCATGTCTTGAAATTTGCCTATAATAGTAGTTACTTACTCAGTAACAGAAAACCCCTGTTAAAACATAAGATATTTCACCCCTACTGATGTTTCGCCTAGATTTTTCTAAAAGTTTAAATCACACATTGCTGACGTTCAACTGTGTTTGGTCAAGCTAATCGAGTTATTTCAGCCCTAACTAAGATGGTAAATCATAATAATCAAAATGCAGGGGGAATTACGTATGAGTCAATTCCAAAGGTTCCCACAGCCCCCCCCCGGCAACCCCCCGGGCATTTGACTTTTTGAAAAAAAAATTGGTCAAATTCCCCACCATGCGGGCCAACAAAATGATCAAGTGCTCCACCGTTCAGGCTCCACGAAGTGGTCAAATGCCCGCCCCTCCAGTCTTATGAATCTCTGATTTTGTCTAAAAAGTACAAAACTGAGCCTGTATACATCCAACAAGTTTCATGCTAAGTACCTTTTGAGATCGTTTTATCATTTATAGCTTTATAAGAATCTAGATTTGAAATCTTTGCTGACTTTGGAATTAGCGTAAACATATTTATTGTTTTGGACTCCAAAAACTTATCTTCATCTACTCGTTCTGTACTGTCATCCACCTTGAAAAGTTTCTTTATAATTCCAAGCTTTTCTTTCCCTGTTTTTCAAAGAAGCGACAAGCATAAGATTGTATTTTGAAACCAAATTTTTGTGGCGATTCGATTTCAATAAGATCGTAATCAATTCGAAGTTCAACCTTTCTTTTGAAAAGACTGCGCAAAGGAATCCGCCAAAAAAGCTTTTCTAACTTCTCTTGTGCCATCCCAGATTTTAAACAAAGGCATTTGGATTTTTTTTTTAGATTCACAGGCGAACCAGAGTCCTCTAAGCACGATCCAAGCGTAAAATTTTGCAATATGCTAATTTATGCAAATATGATAAAAAGTGCCGCTATATTTAGTCAAAAGTCAAATGCCCGCCCATTCGGACATATATTCAGCGTCAAATTCCCCACTCTACGGAACTTGACTATGGTCAAATGCCCGGGGTATGCCGGGAAGGGGGGGGGGATGGGAACCTTTGGAATTGACTCATACATTAAAACACTCCCTACTGGGAGAGTGCCTAAACCTTCTCGGTCTTCTCGGTCAGCACCGGCCTCCTTAAAGCCAAGAATTGAATTGCAAGCAATTAAGGACCTATCTTGCCTTGTCTCTAGATGGAAAAGTGTCTCGATGATGCACAGTAACTACAGGGGCGGCGGAACCCACGACTTTTTTGGGGCAAAATATTGGTTCTCAGTCATAGTTTTACGGCGCATGCGTCTGCAATCAAACAAAACAGCGGTCATTATCACAGTAATGATGAAAAGGTAAATTGTACATCGTGAAAAGATGAAAAAACTTACTGACGTTTCGGACGCTAGTCCTTCGTCGGAGTAAAAAAGGACTAGCGTCCGAAACTTCAGTAAGTTTTTTCATCTTTTCACGGTGTATAATTTACCTTTTCATCATT